TAACATATAAGGGAAAAATAAATAATTCTGCCTGCATTTTTAGTTTTATGTGTTGTACTGTTAGAAGATAGTATTGGAGCTCAGCATAATTTTCAAAAGGTTTAAATAATTCTGAATTATTATCTACTGACCATTTACATATATTGTATATTTTCTACAACTTCTGTAACAAATTGCCATGAACTTAGTGGTCTAAAATAATGCAGATTGATCTTGTTTTTCTAGAGATCAGAATCTTGTTCAATGGGTCACTGATGAGGGTCATGCTCCTCTTGGGGGACTCTAGGAGGTAATTCTTTTATTTTTTCTTCTCTGTCCAGTTTTTCAAGGCTTATGGTCTTTTTCTCCCACCTTCGAAGTAAGTAAGAACTGCCAAGTTCTGCCCTTGTCTTTCTGAACTTCTCTTCTGCCTCTCTTCCATTTTTAAAGACCTTTGTGATTAAGTCTGCTGGACAACCTGTGATCATTCACTTCCTTAAAGTCTGCTGATGAGTAAATTGTTTCATCTGTAACCTCTAGTCCCCTTTGCCATATGTATTCATACATACCCATAGGTTTGGGGAATTATCATATGGACATTGTTAGGGGACTGAATGTTCTTATCCATTACATACCCAATTGACAAAAATGTGCTTACATCCCTACATACTGCTTCTGAGGAAACTGTTTTTCAAAGGCATTGAATAGCTTGCCCAAGGTCCCTGGAGCCAATGGTATTTTCTCAGCCAAGTGAAGATACTTGTATAATCAACTGTAAGCCGTGTTCTCTCCAATCTCATCTCACTTAAAGAGCTTCAATCTTGTTTTGAGTGTGTTCTTGCTTTTGCTTTTTACCTTTGAAGAAATCCCTACTTAAAGAATTGCACTTTTTATCTTTTCTATTTCAAGAGTGTCTAGCGAGAAAATTGATTCAAAAGGGATCAAGCAAGTGACTCACCTAAGTGACATGAAATATAATAAAATGAAAAGAAAAAACCCCACAAAATTACCATCTTTTAGCCAAAAACCCTTATGTTTTCGAAGACCCATAGAACGTAATTAGTGCCTGGGAAATGTCAGAGGTAACAATCAGGGTATTAAGTTTCAATAGTTTGAAAACAGTTTGTTGGCAACTGGTACAGTATCCTTCCCTGAGAGGTGCCTGTGGTTATGATCATTTCACACAGGAGGAAATGGAGGCCGAGAGGTGCCAGTACTTGCTGTGAAGCCATTTGGCTGATCTTTGTGTAGACCTTAGATGTCTTGAGGCTGATTTGGCTCTTCTCAGACTGAGATTTTTTTTCCACAATGCTGTGCCCTTGTTCCTCTGTACTCTTTTATCTTTCCCTATTCTAAAGAGTTTGGTTTGTGCAATATTCCATCTGCCTGCCTTCTGGTTTCCAGAAAGCCTGATCCTAACTCTGATTTTTATTTTTGAGACAGCAGCAATGCAGATAAATTAGTTATTTGCTCCATGCAGTGAGTTAGCAACAGGATCTAAAATAGAGCAGAGTTCTAAATTCCTAAAAATAGGGCAGAATTTTATTCTTATCATACAACTTCTAGCAAATGCAGGGAATGCAAAGGCATCTTTTGAAGTAGAGAGCAAATGAATCAATGTCAACAGCAGCATAAAATGGTCAATCAGTAAACAAGAAAGACTTTCGTTGGTTTAACACATCAAAAAGCCAACTGTGATTAACAAGAAGCTGGAGCAATAGTGTGCTTCCCCTTTGCTGCATCTGTCCAGGGTAAGCTTTGCTATGGTGCTCAGCAAAACTCATGCTTTTTTGTGCTTAGTTTTGTATATGCTGTTCCATTAAATGAAAATATTTCTCTACCTACTTCATCAAAATCCCATCCATGTTGCCAAATATCACCTAAGTATAACTTCCTTCAGAATATCTTCAACGTGCTAGAAGGAAAATTCTCTTGGATTCTCAAATTTGGTTTCCTCTGCATTGCTTTAATATGTTTGTGTATATTTTTAGTACCTCTAGAATATGAAAAGGGCAACTGTTTTCACTTAATTCTTTGTTCTACTGGATCTAGAAAAATCCATCATAGATGTGTAGGTACATTGGTGCCTAATATTTGATCAACAAATAAGTGAACTGATGTTGGACAGGTGTAGTGCCAGCCAAGCATTTTGCTTATTCTTTTCTAGTGACTTTTGCTTTTGAACATAGCAGATTATTCAACAAGTGTTTACTGATTAAATACTTTAATAGTCTCTATAAATAAAAATTATATAAAGTAAAAAATGGAAAGTATGTTGCTTTTCACTGATATTTCTTAAAAGATGTGTCTTCAGAATTATTATCTATAAATAATAAATTGATTTTGATAAACTAAGATTTATTTCATTGTGGTATAGAAAGCTTTGATAGTAAATTTCTATGGATTTTAGGTTTCAGTGTAACTTGGTCAAATAAATTACTGCCTGGGAATTTTGGCAAATCAGTTAACCCTTTAGGACTTAAATGTATACCTGTAAAATGATGCTACAAGTTTCAATTTCAAATTTTTAATGTGTTAAGTCAAAACTATATATTTAGATTGAAACATTGGACTGCCCTCAATCTTTTATTAAGGCCGACCTTAAATACCCAATCAAAAATGTAAAATGCCTTCATTTTGATAAGATAAATGAAGATGACATTTATTTAAAGTTTAATATTCAGTTTAATCTAGACAGATGTTTGGGACGCATTTGAAAAGTTTTCTAGTGCCACTAGTACGTACTAGACATCTTTTTTTCTTTTTCTTCTAGGCAGGGTATTCTTTTGTGAGGGAAACAGTTGTTCTTTAAGAGAGCAAAGATCCTAATTTCTATTCTATTTATTATGAAAGATCACAATTTCTATAACCTCCCCCACTTCTCCATGCCTTATCACAGGGCTGAGTGTGTTTCCTGAACAGGACAAATGAGTTTTTCTTAAGATTTGTTCAAAGTGTGGTGCAGGTAGAGGCCTGTCCTTCCGCTGGGGTGGGGGGAGCAGAGAATAAGTTCAGGTTGCTGGTGGCTATGCCAGCTCTATTTTGAAGGACTGTCTGTGATAGTAGCTCTACCTGGAAAACAGCTGTGTCACTCATACGTGCTGTGCATTTGCTAACATGGGTCAACACAATCTCTAATTTCGGTTTCAGTAGCATGAGTTTGATTTTCACAATTACAACCAAAGCTTTAACAAGTATAAGCCCATAAAACCGTCAGTCACCTGGGATTGGCTGTGCCTTCCTTTCGCTTCTCTTTTTGACCTCTAACTTTTAGCCTCTGATCACTGGGTAAATAACACTAGCTACCAGGTAGAGCTTTTAGATCTGGAGAGTAGGCAGTCCTTGGGCTTTTAAGTCAGTACTGAATTCTGTCCTGAACCTAGGTCCAGATTTGGCAAGGGCTGTGGTTTGACTTTGGTGAAATGCCAAATAGGAGAAGTTTGGATTGGTCATTCAAATCTGTAGTGTTTTTGGAGTGAAGGGGAACCTCTCTGTTTTTTATTTTTATTTTTCGCATTGAATCACTGCAGTAAGAGGAAGGTCCACTAACTTCCCCTCCTTTGTGGTGAGACTCATTCACCAAAGCTACATAGTAAACTGAGATTGCCTGTTCCAAAACATTGCTTGACCAAAACCCTAATCTTCCTGAAACAGCAAACCGTGTGTTTGTTACATATTATAATTTGTTGAGTGAAATTAATTTTTATCATCTTCCCTTCATTTCCATACCATCTACACTCCCTTCTACCTTAAAAATAATAATCATTATTACTGTTATTTTTTTTTTGAGGTAGAGTCTCATTCTGTAGCTCAAGCTGGCCTAAAATACTATGTATTCTAGGCTGGCCTCAAATTCCCACTGACCCTTCTACCTCAGCCTCCTGAATCCTTGGATTTCAGGTGTAAGCCACCATGCCCCACTCCAAATATCATTTAAAAATAATTTTCAATGGTAATCTTTTCTCATTCCAAAAAAATTTAAAATTCAGAAAATTAAGTTTAAAAGAAGACTGTCTTGTAATACAGCCACCAGGAGCAGTTCTGATTAGCTTTTGCCAAATATTCCAAATGCTTGTTTTCTGCAACAATATTTGAACAAAGTCGAAATGATAATGCATAGTCACCACTGTGTCCTCTTCTATTTTCATTTCATAAATCTAAACATTCTCAGTTTAGATTGTTTTTAAAATCCCTATCTCTTTGTTGCTATGTAACTGCATGAACTAGGCAGCATTAAATCTTTAATGCTGTGTCACAGGGCATAGGGAACATTTACCATGTCTGAAGGATTTTCACCAAGGAAAATGACACTCCAGGCTGTGGCCACATTTCTTGCTTAGAAAAGGAATAAATCTTAGACTGAATTATAACTTCAGATAACAAGATTGGAGATGCTGTCTAGTACATTCACAAGAGTGTAATACAATGGTAATATACCTGATACCTGCAATGTTTGTTTGTTTCTGGGTAGAAAGGAAATTCTGGAGCATGAACATCAAACCTGAGCATTCAGCTTTCCAGACTGTCTAAGTTTTCCAAGCTGAGAGCCCATCGCTGTTTCTGGTAAGAGCCAATGCTTGCTTTTCTACCAGACTTCCCTTGCACAATCAAGATTTGCTTTTTTCAAGTGAAAAAGAAGCACAATGTTTTGCCTATAGAGTTTAGTGGCAGAAATATTTTTCACTGTTTTAGAGTAGAGGAAAAGCAAAACACAAAAGAGTTGCCACTAAGAAAATGCAGCTAAGAGAAAAGGTTTGGATTCAATAAATATGCCATTTTGATAATGGCCAGATATGCTTCTTCTCTTCACTTAACCAAATAAATGCTCAAGTTTCTCAGTCTAGGGACATTTGGCTTCTGCCTAAGTCATCTAAATCTGCTTGTGACTCCCAGTCATTTGACTTACCTTTCAAAGAAAAGCCAGTCAGAAAATTGGTTATCTTTAGAAGAAAATATTGGTAAATAGTTGATATCATTCATTTATAAAAGATTCAATTTGAAACTATCAGAAAGTTTAAGACTGCATAGAAACAAAAACTCCATTTAATCTTCATATTTTTTAAGTCATAAATGGGGTATGTAGGCTTCCATGATGATTAGGGGTTGGAACAGAGGCAACTAGCCATAGAAACAGCACTGTGAAAATGTTTGTTTGTTGTTATTTTTTATTCCAGTGACTAGAACCTGATGAAATTTCTTATTATCTTTCTTTTGACAAAGTAGAATCTTATTTTCTTTCCAAAATGACAGATGTCTTCTACTTTAAGAGCTCCATCTGTTGCAAGAGGAATTATAACTGCTTTCAGAAAATTAGCAAGTTCTTGTCTTGTCTGTATGCCTAACAGTAACAGCAGCACAAGTATGACAGAACTTTGGGTGACAGGTTAAGAAGGCAACACTGGTAAGAACTAGATTCTGTTTGGGCTTTTTTTGTGTGTGTGTGTGAGTGAGACAGAGGCCCCAAAGAATATACATGTGCCCAAGGTCACTTTGGAAGAAGTGGCAGAACAGAACTAGGAGCATCCCTCACCTTCCTGGATAGCATCATCCACTTTGCACACAGGCACTGTGGTATGGACACAGATGCCTTGCCAACATACATTGCAGAAGCTTTGTCCTAATCATCATTGTTGAGTTACAACAGTTCTTAGCCCTTAGTGCCTCTGTTTCTAAACTCTCTTTTCCTGACCAGAACTCGAATATAGTGGAAATGGATTTGTGTGTGAGAACATGTCTCATGTAACATGGCAATTCCAAATGGTTGGTAATAATTAAGAGAGAACACGGGCTTCTGAGTACCACATATGTGGCTCTCTTCATTTAATCGACTACATGGTCAAGTGATGTCTGGATGTGTGAGGGATAGGGAAGGAACTGCTATTCTAAATTTTATGACTGCCTTAGCACAAAGAAAATATTCTATGTTAGATACACAGTGGGGATCCAAGCACCAGAGTTGTTGCTATAGGAATGGGAGCCCGATGTTTTAATGCACTACCAGTGGAGATGCTCATAGTCATTTACAATTTGTACGAGGTACTCTTCGCTTCTGTCTCTTAAGTTGCTCTAACAGGACAAAAATAAAAATAACCCAGAAATAGCTGTTTTAATGAAAGTGCTTATTACTACAACTACAAATAGTACTCAAGTATGTTTAAATTTGTTTTAAAGAAATAGTGATATAAATATATTCTAAATTATCCATGATAACAGTGGTTGTGGTAAAAAGGCAAAGGATAGGGATATTCGTGACAAGTATGAATTTTGCTTTCAATATTTATAATAATTTTTGGAAAGCCTTGGGAAAGTGAGTTCATTGACGTTTCAAGTGAAGATGATAATGTATAAGGACAGATCATAATGCATGGTTGCATTATTTGTACAATCCCAAACAGGAAATGTCTCAAGAGCCCGTCAGCAATAGGATGAAGGATGTGTGGTGTGGTCACACAATAGAATCATATTCAATAACGAGAATGTAGGATTCATAATCAACCCGACTGTATCACTGAATCTCACAAAAATAAGGCTGAGAGAAGAAAGCCAACACGGAAGAATGTATATTGATTGATTCTATTGTCTAAAAGACAAAACAGGGCAAAGGTAATGTATGATGCTGGAGATCTGGATAGCAGTATGTGGAGGACTGACGGGGTGAGGGCAGGCAGCTGCGGTGCTGTGTTCAGAGGAGGTACGTTACTGAGCTGTAACAGCTCTGCTCTACGCAATGTCTGTATATATGGAATATTGTAGGGAAGTTCTTAAAGGCAAATGAGCATTTTTCAAAAGAAGTATGAAAGCCCATATTTTGGATAAAATTCTCCCATTTTCATCTTTTGTTAGAAAAAAGTAAGGATTGCAGAAGTGCACCTCTTTAGAAAATCTTAATAGAATCGTGGGATGAGGTAAACTAGGCAGGAGGATGCAAACTAGGCAGGAAGATGCAAGTCTCAAAAAAGGAATCCCAAGCAGGGATTTGGTGGCCCCCCTTAGTGCTCCGGGAGCTACAGAATTCCAGTAGCAGGCCCAGAGGCCTCCCATCTCTTCAGAAATGGGCTTTCTAGAGCCAGACAGCTTGTACACAGGCTTAGTGAAGGGCTCATAACCTCAATTTATTATCAAAATGTTTCCATTAGACGACAAACCTGAAAAGAGCTTGGTGGCTCTACACAGATGTGGGTTTGCCCCTTTATAATCACGCTTAGGGGACAGACTTAATCTTGAAAATGGTGCTTGTAAATCACAAATATTAAGTATCTCTAGACAATCGCTCAACAAATTTTACCCCCAACGTTTGTGCTTAAAGCTCCTCACCAATATGATTTAAAAGTTTAAAAGTCTCAAATTTTCATCTGTACATCACTTTACAGATCTTCATAACTGTTTATCTAGGCTATAACTTCAATATCCAATGATTACCTATAGCAACAGTTATTCAGTCATAAATGTAGTTAATAATTAAATATTAAAATTATTATTTATACATTACTATAAATCCTTTAAAAAGACCAAGTTTGAGAGACATAGAGAGCAAAGAAATTTCTTAGAAAACCAGCGCAGGGGCCTCAAGAATCTCAGTATCACTAAAGCGGGTACATCCCAAAAGAGCTTCACACATTCATTTTTGCCTTCAGAGTACTGAAAATAAAATGACACTGGATGAATGAAAAACTGATTATGGTAAGGTGAGTTCAAAACTACATAAGCCTTACGGCCGCAGTATATAGAGGAGTTCTTTGGAAGTTTGGAAGGAGCGTGAACGCTGAGAAGGAAAGTGAGCACTTAGGCAAATCGCTGCTGTGCTTTGGTGCCCAATGGTACTTAGCATCTTCTTTAATTGCTTTGATTAGAAGTCATGGTCTGCCTCAGGTGATTGACACTGTTTTCCGGGGACAGCATTAAACTTGCAGACCCCACGAGAAACAGAAATGAAGGTCATACTATCCTTTGAAATTAAGCATTATTTACACAGTGAAGTGACTGATTTGATAGACCTTAGACCCTTTACCCCTCCTTACAACGGATCCAATAACCTAATGTCATTTATGTTAGCTTCTACTCATCTCTGTGAATTGCCCTGAAGTAGCTGCAGAAATGTCTAGGGCCCATTTTCTCTCAGCTGGAGAGTTCCCGTTTTTGTGGCTTTAGCAAGTCTAGCCACCAGATGCACGGCTTCTTGTGAACATCACCAAACCCGGCATTTCTTTTCTGGATTCATATATGAATTCTTGCGGCAATGAAAGGCTTCTGCAAACTCTGCAGAGTTCTGCAAAGTCCCAATAATCCTTTAAAACAAACAAAAAAAAACATCATCAGCACTTGACATTCATGTCTGTTCCACACTAAGCCCTGTAGAAGTTCTCTGTGTAGTTCAGATGGGTGAAATGAGAGACAAAAGAACCTGAACCTGGTACAATGTGTTAAATCCCCATTTGCAGGATTTTTAAAAGAAGAAGTAACAGTGCACAAGCTAAGAACAGACTTTGGAGATAGTTTGCTGTTTCACTTTTTTTTATCTATGAATTATATTGAGTAATAGTCCCAGCATCTTAATGTTGTAAGGATGATTAACAACTTAAAAATACTTTCACGTGTTTTTTTTTTTTTTTGGTCTTTTTGAGACAGGGTCTCCCTGTAGCCCCAGCTGTCCTGGAACTCACTATGTAGACCAGGCTGGCCTTGAACTCACAAAGATCCTCCTGCCTCTGCCTCCTGGAGTGCTGGGATTAAAGGCGTGCACCACCACGCCTGGCTTTTCACAAGTATTTTTAAGACAACTAAACAATTCATATTTGAAATTGTGGTTTTTGTGAGAAGTTTAGTCAAAGGTAAAAATCATGATTTTTTTTCACCGTGTCTTGTGAGGGCTCACATAATCATTTAAATAAGGTTTTCGTTATAATAAACAATTTTATGGTCAACAATTTTATAAAGGTATTTCAAATAAAAATGTTCAAAAGTTATTTCTATTGACTATATGGTTGCTTTTT